ACCCACACCCCCACATCCATCCATCCAATCTGCTTCACATTGAATTGGCCTACAGTACACTGTCAAGGCAGAATATCAGTGTTGTGTGTTTGTATCATGTCAAATCATTCTGTCAGCATAACAAATGTCATGTTTATCTGCTATAATCAAACCAGTGACATTTTCTATTTTCTATTTTAAATTCAAAGCTAAGTCAGGGATCCAAACACATGGTGAGTACGAACTATCCTGACACACAGCCCTCACTTCTCACAAGTCTGAAACTCTTGACATCTCTTGAATCTATAGCTTGAACTGGATCGGGGATGGGCAACTTGGATGGGGGTGGGGGCCACATAATGTATGTACTGGCCACCAGGGGGCCAGTACATACATTATGTGGCTTAACGTCAAAGCAGGCATAACAACAGCCGGTGTGTATTGTGAGCGTTTTCCCCGGGAAACAAACACAATACTCACAAACACGTCACAGATTATTTTGCGGTATTTGGCTGCCGGGCCACCATTTGCCCATCCCTGAACTAGATGATCAAAAGCAGCACATGTGACCCATAAAATAAATCCATTTTTCAAACCTAATGAAAGATTGTAAAGTGAAATATTTTAGACAGTGATTCTTAACTAGCCATACAGTTGATATAGTTGGTTAAAGTAATGCTAATAAACTTTTATATGTAAAATAACTAATAGGATAAAGCATTTTTTTTTTTAAAAGTGGAATTGTTAATCTAAGCCACAGTAATGGATACATTTTTTAAATCTCTGAACATATAAATGGTTAAAATGAACAGTAAAAAGCAAGGCGATGGGACGACACAGGATTTTATAGTGGATATCAATAAAAAATTGACTTGGTAAAGTTTTCTGGCGTGCTATCATGGTAGGAAAGTGACGTATTAGAACCTGATTTTAAATAAAATAAAATACAGGAATAATCATTTAAAAGAGAAAAGACTCACATAAGGAAAAGTATTAATATGACATGGTGTTGATTGTTGGGAATCACAGTTCTGGAGAGGATTATTTAAGCAATAGCTCACGACAGGCCGTGGTATATATGGTCATTATATCAAAGCTACAGCTAAGGGGTGTGATTGGGCTTCCAGTAGCTCTGGAGAGAGCTTTCGCACCTGCGGCCACTAACGGTCGTAATTTCTCTGCTTTGTTTCAAGACCCGCATCAGAAAGCTTTTGAATGGTGGTACTTTTCCAGTTGGTCTACCTGCTCTTCACGTAGCTCTGCATGTCGTCGTTTAGGTGCTTTCTTGAGATAGGCACTGCTCAATCCACTCCTCCATCGTAAGGCCACCCCGGAGGTCGAAGTTAACCTTAAATGTTTCCATCTTAAACTTTGTTAGTCAGTTAGTTTCGTAACGGACGTAATGTAACAGTTGTAACGGTTGTAGCTGTTTCTCAGACGCGGAGGGATACTGACTTGTGAAAAGTAACAACAATTCTACCCGTGATATACGCTCATTATATCACGGCTAAGAACCAATCAGATTGCTTGATTTGACTTGTCCGTTTTATAATATAAAATAATCTGAAATTGAGTTGATACGAGATGAGGTAAATTCAGACTTGTGAGAAGCAACCAGAGTGAAACAAGAATTACAAAGAAAGTGAATTTGCCGATGACTCTAACCCTCGACGTGTTTTCAACACGAACAGGCGTCCAGCATCGAGAACAAGCAGGACTGGATCAAACACATCAGAGAGGTGATTCAGGAGCGCTCCATCCACCTGAGAGGAGCGCTGAAGGAGCCCATTCATATCCCCAAAACAACCACCGCCAAGCACCACAAGGGCAGGGGAAGGTAAACATGAGACCCTGCAAGAAACTGATTATAATTACAGACACTCTGAAGTAAGGCTGCACAAATGACTGGTTGTGCTTCTTTTGGCGGATATTGCATCTCGACATGATTAACGATATTAGAGGGACTGATCATTTTTGAATTATACGTCTCATTATCATTGGAAAATATATTACAATTACAATGGGGAGTTTTTTGTAATGATATGTAGCAAATACTATTATTTTGTAAGTCGGAAGTATACGATTTGTAGGCCGAGATATCTCTGCAGCTCCACCATTACCACATTTATCCTTTAACAAATATTGTGCTTCCTGTGATTTGAATATTGCATCGGTCCATATTGCGATTTTAAGACAATTTAAATGTAATTGTGGAGCCCAACTCGGAAATGATGATTTTGTGTGTGTTTTAGGGACGGAGAGGACCTGGACAGTCAGGGTGAAGGCAGCAGCCAACCAGACACCATCTCTCTGGCATCCCGCACTTCACAGAACACACTGGACAGCGACAAAGTGAGCACACACACACACACACACACACACACACACACACACACACACACACACACACACACACACACACACACACACACACACACACCTACTGATGACCAGAAATTATGTTTCAGACCCCCATGTAAAAATGTCTACGACCTGCATTGTATGTACCTACTTTGGTCATATTTTTCAATCCGTAAACTCAACTGCTCTACTTACCCTTCATATTGTATAGTATAATACCATATGGTATCTTATGTTATCATATCTGGTATAATATCTTATGTTATGTTTTCGTTGCTGTCACATTGCATCATGAGGAATGGTATTGTATGTCATCATGTTGTATCGTATCTTATTATCATTATAACATTGTTGATTATCCCCCCCCCCCCTCAGCTCTCCGGTGGCTGTGAGCTAACGGTGGTGATTCACGACTTCATGGCGAGCAACAGCAACGAGCTGACGGTGCGCCGCGGTCAGACGGTGGAGGTTCTGGAGCGCTGCCACGAGAAGCCGGACTGGTGCCTGGTCCGCACCACAGACCGCTCCCCCGCCATGGAGGGGCTGGTGCCCTGCTCCATGCTCTGCATCGCACACTCACGCTCATCCATGGAGATGGAGGGCATCTACAACCACAAAGGTACAGCGTGTCTGTTAGGAAGGTCAAATATGTATGTACGTGAAGTATGTAATGAAGCAGTACAGGTTAATATTCTGTATATCACCAGTTCATGGGCTGAAACCAAAGCTTATTTAAATACTTTGTCTTCCAGACACTCTGTCAGTGTGCAGCAACGACTCCATCATGCCGGGGTCGTCCGCCACGCTGCAGCCGGGTCACGGCATCGGTTCCCACACCTCACCGGGGCCCAAAAGACCAGGTAGGGTCTCTCACAACCACATCAATGTTACGAAAAAACATGCAGCATGAGACTCCTTTTTCCACTCGGGCATTATTGAAGTAAAACCTCTTATTGAAAAGGGCTGGTGTAATAGAAAGAGACCAAAAAACGATCTGGTCATCTATTTTTGAAGTGTGATATCTCTCGTGTTTATGAATTAAGAATAGGTATGAAAAAGGAAACTGGATAATCTTAATTTTTTATCTGTGAAACAGGGAATACTCATTTCAGCAAAGAAGTCATGACTGTAATGTTTAAAACCTGCCAACACACATCGTATCTTCTGTTCAGAGTGAATTGAGAAATTAAAAGTATAGCTGGTGGTGCACTTCGGCCTCTTGTGGCCTAAGTCAGTATTACAACAACAAACAACAAAAATGATCTTGACAACAAATAAATAAATGAATCACCTGACAGAACTTTTCTTTCCACCTGTTTCAAAGATAAAACAATAAAAGGAACTTTAAAAAAGATTATCCTGGAATATATTTATCCTTCTGCCTATAAGTCATTAAAAAATCAGACGAAAATGGATCACCCAAATTTGCTTTCCTTTGTCAAGGCTTCCGTAGTCTACTGCTGTTTCTTACGACAACAGTAAACGTTAAGGCTCTAAATATAATAATTCAATAAAAGAAAATGAATTAATGTTCACTAATAAATTCTGTTTAGATTTTTAAACAAAGGCTCTACCTCCCTTTTCTACCGTCTCCTCCCCACATTCATTAAATGTTGGTGTTTCCCCAGGTAACACGCTGCGGAAGTGGCTCACCAGCCCAGTGCGCAGACTAAGCAGCGGCAAGGCGGACGGCCACGTGAAGAAGCTCGCCCACAAACACAAGAAGAGCCGCGACGTGAGGAAGAGCGGAGAGATGACGATGGGGTCGCAGAAAGACTCGGACGACAGCGCCGCTACGCCTCAGGACGAGACCGTGGAGGAGGTGGGTGTCAACTTCACACTGTCATCACGTCTCCATTTAGTTTGTGATGTAGACTTGGTCATCCGTGCAATATACTTACTTAAAGAAATAACAGAACAAAGTCATACGTGCCATATCCTGGTCCAACAACGATGCTGAGTCGAATATCTTTCACAACACCTTAATGTAGTTATTAATTTGCTGAATGACAGACTGTATGACCTTATCCCAACTTATTCCTCCTTGCATACACATACAACTATAAAGGGTAAGCAAAACATCTGTTCCAAATGCAGTGTTGTCTGCAGAAGCCCAAAGGTATGCAATAAGATGGATAACCCTATCACATGTCTTTATCGGTGTCTGTCTTTAAAGCGAGCTTATGGCAGCAGCACATATATCACAGCTTAAATACCGGTATACTGAAATGCCTTTAATTTACATAATTATTTTCGCTGTTAACACTGATTAAGGTTAGATAAGCCTATAGTTTGTAGGGTATTTGATTGGTGTTAGGTGTTTTTTAGCTTGTAAATGTTTCAAAATAATACATGAATTTGTCATTTAGTGTCTGGACTCTAAATCTGCTGATAACCCTTATCGGGGTGTCCCTTCTTACAAATCTCCATTATGTCTTCTGACTGTACTTGTAAAGACTGTTTCTGAATGAAATGACCTGACTGGTTGCAGAGGGTTCGTAACGAGGGCCTGTCGAGCGGCACGCTGTCCAAGTCCAGTTCCTCGGGCATGCAGAGCTGCGGAGAGGAGGAGGGCGAGGAGGGGGCCGACTCGGTGCCCCTGCCCCCCCCCATGGCCATCCAGCAGCACAGCCTGCTGCAGCCAGACTCACAGGACGACAAGGTGAGAGGGAGGACGTCCCAGCGGGGCGGAGACACGGGTCAGAGACAAAGGGACGGGCAGGGAAAGATGATGATGATGATGAAGCAGCAGCAGCAGGGGGAGGAGGAGGAAGAGTCTCAGGGGAGAAATTAGGATTTAGGACACAAACTGTTTTAGACTTTTCTGGTGCTGCAAAGTAGGTTCACGGAGTTCTTCAAATTGTAGGTCAGAAAGGACTTTTGTTCTGGAGCTCATCCTTGGAGAAGCTATATATAGTGACATGAGCCGAGACGCTGGCAGAGAGTTTTGTCCCATCAACTTCAGAAGCTTTATGTTCGTACTTTTACAAAAAAAAAAGCCAACAGGAAAGACATCTTTAACAAGTTATTAGTAGGAGTCATTAGCATATTAGTGACTCAAACCATCACATTTGATAGACCTTTGTATAATTGAAGGGTAAATGACGCTACATCATGTATATGTTTGGACCTAGGCGCCATTTATGACCTTCTTTAAGAGAAATGAAACGCTTCTTATTCAGGCTCTGTCTCTTCATGATTTTAAGTTCTTGTAGGTTACATTTTCCCTCATCTCAGTCTCCCACTTCCCCCCCCCCCAAAAAAAGGGCATTTCCTGACAAAGTTTTGAAGTGACTCCTTGTAGTTTCTGTTATGCATAACTCTTATCTTGGCATGTTGCATCAAACTCTCCCGTCTGCAGAAGGCAAAGAATCGTTTCAGGCACTCCGAGTTTCGACCAAAGCGAAGGCTCCTCTGACACTAATTTCTTTTTCTCTTTTGTTTTGTTTTCTGGTTGTATCGTTTTCTGTTTGCCACTCTGTAGCATTACCTTGATTTATGTCCTGTCTTTGCTTTGTCTCAGTTTCCATACCTCTCCATCTGAAATGCCCTGCTCTCCCCCGATCCTTCCCTTGATCAATTCTTTAATTCCTTTCCCCCCCCCGCTCCTCAGCTTTAAATGCAACTTCCTTAAACCCTTTTCTTTTTTCCAACAACACTTTCTATAGTGAAAGGATTTAAGCTTTTTAAAAAAACACCTATCTCTGTCCCCTGAAAGTCACTCTTCCTAACTTTTGTATTTTTCTGATTCCTGAATTTCTTTAGTGTAGATTTATTTCCTTCCATCTTTTTCTTTTTTTTAGTTTCACTCATTTTGACTTATGCCCTGTTTCTACAACACACCGCTGTAGAGCCGCCTGGCACAGGAGCTAGGGCCTTATGGGGAAATGTAGATCAAGAGAAGACGCGTGTAGCTCTTAACTCTTAATAAATGGCAATGTGGATGTTTTTTCTGTCGGTTTCAGAACGGATCAAAAGGGCTTTAATGCTTCATTTGTGAATTTTTTTAATGCCTTGAACCTAAAGACTGCAGCTTTTTCCTGCATGTTTGAAAAAGTTGATTGAAAATCCCCGTCAGCAGAGCAGGCAGCAACCCTGGATGAAAAATCTAAATATGACCCAATGCTTCGGTCAAAATTCCAAAAGCCCCCCCTTTGTTCCCATCATCCTCAAACCCCCTCCCTCCCCCCTCCCTCACCCGCTCGTCCTCATCTCCGTTTTTTGCCCTCTGTGCGTTAACCTCATTACCCATGCGAGTAATTGGCATCTCTAAACGCTGGCGAGGCCAGAAGGGCACACAGCCTCACCCAGACATCCTAATTGGGGAAAGTCTTGAAGCACAGCACAGCAAGGGTGAGACTCTCCTGAACTATATTTATTATTTACATACATGCACATCCCTCTTCCATCTGTTAGCATCCTCTCTTGATTTCAAAGAATGATCATCGTCACCAGAGAAAGCAAAAAGGGATCCATCACTTTTTCTGCCCCCGACCTTCTCCCGTCACCATTTTCTCACATTTCACCTTACTTCCCATTTCTGAGTTTTGTTCACCCCGATTTCAGCCTCATGTTTCTACCTTAACATTTAAAGTTGATTTTAAAATATACTTTGTTTGAAGCTTCAGATTTGAGCTCCTGGCTTTCGGGGTTTCACTTGAGGCCAGACTACAGCATTTAACATTTAACAAACATGTTCACTGAGTCATTGCTAACTCAAATAATACAAAAATAACATTAACTTATAACGAAACTTAAGTAAATGCTAACCTTGAAATAAATCTTAACCATGGTCGTTAACCTTAAAATAGTATCAATCTTTTTCTATCTATTAATGGATTATTTTAATTTAGTCTTGTTGCTTTAAATGGCACTATTTTCTCGCTAGGAAGAGATGTAGTAACACCAGTCAAAGTACAGATCTAGAGATGAAGGAACAGATGTTAGATTGTATTTTAATCGGGTTCTAATGCTGTGTTTTGTCCCCCTCTCCGCTCTCATCTCTGTATTTTTCCTCAGACCTCTTCTCGCCTGTCGGTCCGTCCCTCCAGTTCGGAGACGCCCAGCGCCGCGGAGCTGGTGAGCGCCATCGAGGAGCTGGTCAAAAGCAAGATGGTAGGACAACTGAGGAAAACACAAACACACACTAACGGCCTGTCCACACACAGGCATGAAAAAAATCTTGAAATGCTGGGCGTGCTGGATTGGTCTGAAGCTTGGCGATTTTTTGCGACCAACAACCAATCACATGAATCTCCCGCCCCCGACATACAAAGCAATAGCAATGTTAAAACGAAGTAAACTGGATATAAAATCCCCAAACAGGCGAAAAGCTACCAGTTTCACCCACTGTCTCTGCCACCTCCCTCCATGCCTGGTTCCTCCGGTTTGTATCCCGGTAAATAGTCTGGTCGTAAAGAACCGGGTGATTTGCTACCGTAATTTCTCGTTTGGAATATGAGGAAATGACTCTCCCAGCTTGCACGCGGTTTGATTGGCTAGCGCTTGTACTGGCGGGATTTGCATAAACGGGATTTGATTGGCTGATGCCAGCTTCGAAAGCATCGGGAGCATCAAAAGTTGAACATTGCTCAACTTTTGATGCTCACGATGCTTGCAAAGCCATGCTCCGCTCNTAAAATGTTGTATTCAATGTTACAAAACAAAAATGACCATGTTCACGTCTTAAAGTCATCCTGAGGCCTGAGTATGTGTTGCTTCTTTGGGGCTTGTTTTCATAGATCTGGTTCCTTATTTCTCTCAAATCTGGCAACAGAGTGGGCGCAGTGTCTAATTGTAGCAGTAAGC